GTGTGGGACTGGCAGCTCCTCGCTCACCTACCCAGGATGCCAAACGTTGAGGTCCTGGCCCCTTTTTGACCACCTTTCCCTTCACGTCCCGCCTGGAGCCTTCCTGCCTGCCTTCCTCCCACACACCAGGCTGGAGGACTTTTTGGACTGCCTTGGAGCCTCAGGGCCTGGCTGCACTGCCATAGCTGACCATTCCAGCCACCCAGCCCCACAAGGTGTCTGGCGGGTCACAGCACAGCCCAGACTCCCGCCATTGGCCACCAGGGGACAGCAGAGGCCGCCTTCTGCAGAACTCGGGTTGGGGGTGGGGGTATGGGGGATCAAGTCGCAGTCTAATACTGTCCAGGTCCTGCTGTGCGTGGCAGGGCAGGTTTACAGCCTTATGTGGTTTTGAAAGCAGTTTTATTCTTTCAGATTTTTTCCAGGGCTGCACTTTCTAAGTAACTTCCAGTCAATTATTCCTGTTCCAAGTTGTTTGAAAATCAGTTGCTGGATGACTTTAAACTGAGATCAAGGCAGACATCTGGATGAGTCCTCTGGGTCCCTCCATGTGCTCCTTCATGTCCCTGGCTACCAGGGCTTGGCCAGGCCAGGCAGTGTCCACCCTGTATACCCTGATGCCAACTGTCCAACCTCCAGCTACTGTCTTCTAGCCCACTATCTCTAGAGCCCTGGCCTTCACCAACCTCCCACCCATGGTCCAATCTCTCCTCCTCAGTACCTTCTTCTCAGTCTTCCTAAAAGCCTCTGTTGGTCCTGCTCCCCTCACTTCACACAGATCTTACCAGTCTGTAGTCTTACCAGTCCTGGGGCGCCTGGGTGGTTCAGTCTAAGTGCCCAGCTTCAGCTCAGGTTATGATCTCAGGGTTCATGAGTTGGAGCCCCACATCAGGCTTGCTGCTGTCAGCCTGTCAGCAGAGATCCCGCTTTGGATCCCTTGTCCCCCTCTCCCCGCTCCTCCCCCACTCATTCTCCCTCTCCCCCTCTCTCTCTCTCAAAAGCAAAACAAAAACATTATAGTTTTACCAGTCCTACCTCTTCCTCCTCTACCCACTCCAGTCAGGCTTGCCCTTCCCTCCACAAAACAGCCGTGACCCACACATTGCCGAACCCAGCTGAAGCTCCATGCTCACCTCCTTGAGCATTTGACCCCCGTCTGGCTCCCACATGCCCTCTTCCCCCTTTGTTTCCTCCTGGCTCCCCTGCTTAGCTCTTTCTCTGATTCCACCTTGGCTCTCCTATCTCCTAATAGGAGTGTTCCAGGGCTCCATCCTGACTGCTGCCCTTCGGTCTTCACTCACCACCCTCATCTCATCCAGGCCCCTGACCTTAACTACTGTCCACTGGCTTTGCCTCCCAGACTCTGGGTCCAGTTCTGGCCACTCTACTGAACTTGAGTCACATACCCAGTGGCCGACTTGGCATCCCCACTTTGATATCTAGTCGATTTTTAAGACTTTTCATGGGCAAAACTGATCTCCCTCCCAAGAACTGCCTCCTTCAGTGGATGCAGTGGCAGTTTGGACCCTAGACAGCCTTGGAGTCACCCTAGACTGTTTCTGCCCCACTCCACCCCCATGTCCAAATAATCAGGGAACTTTGCTGCCTTTACCTCCAGCACATGTCCAGCATCTCACCCCAACTGTGCCACTACCTGGGCTGAGCTACCTGACATGTCTGTCTGAAATTGCAATAGCCTGTGTGTCATTGTCACCCTTGGCTCCCCATCCCACACCCCAGAGTCTAAGCTCCATGTAGCAGCTGGAATAATCCAGAGTTGCTGTTGAATCAGATCCTGCCCCCTTCTCTGTTCAAGAATTGGCATTGGGTCTCACCTTTCCCAGAGAAAAATCCAAAGCCCTTATGGTGGCTGGCAAGGCCCCACATCCTCCCCCCTCAAAAGCCCCCACTTGTCCCTCCTTCCCTCTACTGCCTCACTCAACAGCAGCCACAACGACTTCCTGGTTGCTCCTCTCACAGGTATGTTCTGCTTCTGAACTTTGCACCAGCTGATCCCTCTGGCTGGAATGTTCCCTGCAGGCATCCACATGACTTCCTCCCTCTCCAAATCTCTGATAAAGCATATTTTTCTCAGTGAAGGCCACCTTGACCCACCTCCAGACCCCCTGTTCTCTATTGCTCCTACCTTGCCATTTTAGTACCTATGGTATGACCATCTTCTAACAAATAATGTAACTTACTAATTATGTTTCATGTTTCTGGTCTGAATTCAGTCCCACACCTAGAATGTAAGCTCAAGGAAGGCAAGGGCCTTCACTTTGTTTACTGCTGTGTGTACAGGTGCTGGAAGGATGCCTAGCACATGGGAAATCTTGATAAATATTTGTTGAACGAGTGAATTCCTCTTCCATCAATAGGTGAATGTACACATGTGCACACAGGTGAGGAGGGTGTGCAGGGGGAAGCTTTCCCCCAGCAGGGGGAAGCTGCTGGTCAGAAGAGACCAAGGCTGACTTTGGCCCTTTTTCCTGGTCTATATCATCTTGTCTTGCTGTTACAAGTGGTCATAAGAAAAGCAGTGAAAATAAATATAGAAGACCTTTGTGCTGGAGTTTCTGGCTGCTTTCACTTGTTCATTTCCAAAGAGAGCAAATTTTAAAAAGCAAGAAAGAAGGAAAAAAAAGACCTAGGAAATTCTTCAAAACATACAAAAATGACTATGACCAAGGGCCTGCAGACCCATCCTTATGGAGGCTGAGTGACTGGACCTTGACAGCCAGAAACAAGAGATATTCATTTTCAAACAGTCATGTGGACACTTGGTATAGTCTAGCAGCCACATTGCCTGCCCCTTCCCCCCTAGAGAATGCTGCTCATGGTCCATGTTAGAGGAGACCTTGCTGAGCAGGCAGAGAAGACCTCTTGGGGGCCAGAGTCCTTCCTCCACCCCATGTGTGTGTGCGCGTGCGTGCGTGTGTGTGTGTGAAGCAGGTGGACCTACTGTCAACACATCCTCTTGGTCTGAGAGGTCTAAAGCCAGGCCTGGGGTTTTTAGGGAATCCAGGCACTCTTGCTGCTGCTCTGACCTGCAGTCTTCTTTGGACAGAGTATGAGAAAAGACCCCCAAGGTCTCTCAGCAGGATGGACCCTGTCCTCCACTGCCTCCCACTCTCTAGGAGCCAAAGGCTCCATGCAGGCCTATGACCTAATCTGATGAGGAGGAAGCCAGAGACCCCCAGAGGGCAGCCCCTCACATCAGGACACTCTGGGCTGCAGCCACCTCTCGGCCAGCGTCCGGCTCTTTTCTGGGGCTGCAGGGCTCCTGGGTAAGTCCCCAGGCTGGAGTCAGGCGCCTGGGGCTGAAGGGAACTAGACTCAGGAAGCCCCCCTCTGATCAGTTGGCACAGCCATGGGCCTACCAGCTACCAGCTTGAGGAAATTCTTTCTTGAGGGGTTTCCCAAGCTGGCAGCTGCCTTGCCAGTTCAAACTGGATTTTTCCTGTTGCCCTTTCCCTGGCGGCCTAGCCGGGTGCAGGGTCTCTCCTAATGAGGGTTTGGTGCCAAGGCCCAGGCGGCTCCGTCTTGCTGGGTACCAGCTGGTTGAGGCCTGCCCCAGGAAATGAGCAGCTTCCTAGTTTCATTGGGGCCAGGGCACTTGGGACTACCCTGCATCTTTAGGCCAGTCCTGCCCTGCCTTGGACCCCCTACTCAAAACTCAGGGCTCCAAACATGGGAACTCATTAACCCACCTTTATTCACAGTGGGTTTTACCATTAATAGAAGATCAGCCTGACAACTCACAGAATTCCTGGATTTTTGTCCTCAGACTCAAGGCATTAGCAGAGGATTGACATGGCAGCCAGGGAGGGCAGGGGGCCCTTCAGCAGGGTTTCTGCAGGGCTCAGCTGCCCCCTTGCTCAGACCCTCCCTGGAGCTACTGGGGATGCACCTCACGTTGCCTCCTTCCGGAGCCTCTCTCTGTCCCATTTCCTGGGGCCTCATTAATTCCTCCCCACCTCACCCCGTGAGAAAGCAGGTCTGTGCTGAGCCTGGCCCAGGTCCAGAGCTGGGCCTGAGCATGCCACTGGCTGGTTTGGAAGGGGCCCTATCCCCACCCTCATCCCAGGGAAGGGGGCAGGAGAGGCTCCCGTTTCCATCCATGTCCCGACTTCTACCCACTTGCCAGGAGCTCAGGGACCATGGGGAACAAGAATACACAACATAGCTGGTATTACGTATAATATTTATAAAAGGGAGCTGACAGCTTCTCCACTCCTACCCCGGATCAGCCCCTGGGGTCTTTGGCTCCCAGGGGCAGAGACGCTCTGGGCCCCAGCCTCTTTCTTCTCCCAGAAATGGAATGTGAGCTATGGCCCAGACTTGGGGTGGGGGGAGTCCCAGCCTCCCCAGGACTGGTGAAGGGGCAGGTCCCTGGGGGTGCCCACACCAGCCTCACATTTAAAAGAACCTGATGGCTTCAGGTATGGGGGGCGGTCTGCTTCTGGTGGTGGGGATGGGAGAAGGAGACAAGAGTATCCAAGCGCTTGAGTCCAAGTGACTGAAAGGGGCCTCCGGGACAGAAGTGGAGGAAGGCAAGTGCATTGAGGGAGATGAGGCCCCAGAGTGCAGACCAAGGTCCAGCAGCAAGGTGGGGAGATGGCTGCAGGCTTGGGCTCCAACTCTATGTGCCTTACAGACTGTGTGGGCAGCTGTTGGACCTCAGTGTTTGCATCTGTGCAAGGAGGGCAGGGGCCTGAGTGGGATCTGAGGCAACAGGAAGGGAGCAAGGGCACAGCCCCACCCTGCTCCCAACTCCGGAAGCCCCTGTAGCCCGGGAGCCCAGCAAGGTAGTGGTCCAAGGGCCTTGGTCCTGGCTGTAACAAAAACCTTCCACAGAGAAGACGTGAGGCAGGGGACAAATGCCATAGTGTTAACCACATCTTTCTTCTCCCCGCTGACTGGCCACTGGATGGGAGCAGGGGCTGAAGACTCTGGGCAGGGGTACTTGGACGAGTAGACAGAACAGGCCGGGGGTCTTCCTAGTGGCTTCCTCCATGCCGGCCAGTCCCTGACACCCAATCAATGATGATGAAGCTCAAGCTCATGGTCATCAGCAAGAGGCCAAGCACAGCGAAACAAAGGGCCTATGGGGTCAGGGAGTCAAGACTCAGGTGTGAGGTCAGGGCAGCTCCCTCAGCCCCACACCAGCCCACCAACCTCCAGGATCCTCGCACCAAGATTTTGGGGGTAGACTTTGCAGGTTCCTTCTCGGTGGGTATGATGCGAAAGTAGAAGATGGCGGGGAAGATGAAGATGAGGCATGGGGCAGATGTGGCACCTGCAAAGAATGAGATATATCCAGCTATTGGCTAAGGTCCAGGGGTGAACCCTTCAGTGAGATCAGAGATTCCTTGCTGGGGAAGTCTCATCTTGAGACTCTACTTGAGAGCTCTGCCTGATTCCGGAGAGCCCACCAGTCCCCCTGCCCCCCATTCTCTGTCCAACTGGATAGAAAGCTAGTGCTGTTGGCAGTAGAAGAATCTGTCAGTGAATGAAGCTCTCAAAGAGGAAAGGTAAGCCAAAAGATAAAGACAAAGCCTTGAAGATATCGGGCTCCTAGATATAGCTATTCCTGAAGGCTTTTCCATTATTTAAGCCAATACCTTCCTCTTTGCTTAAATCATTTTGAGTCAGATTTTGGCCACAGAGAAGCTATAGTCATGTCTATGCTATCCATGACAATCAGCACCCAGGTCTGTGTTTTGGTCCCTGCAGAGTTGGGCTGAGGAGTCAGTCTTGTGAGTTGGGCCACTCCAAAGATGTCTCAGAATTGTCTGATTTTCTACCTTAGAGCCCCAACTGGGATGAGACAGTGGACGGAGCACTGAACCTATAGTTCCATGATCCTAGAGCTAAATCAAGGCCCCCCACTTACCAGCCGTATGGCTCTGCTACTCCCTTAATCACTATGGACTTCAGTTTCCTCATATGTGAAATGGGGACAAGACCCAATGAGACCCTTTGTGGAGGTCCCTGGCATCCGGGCTCCACCCCATCCCTCAGCAAGGGGGAACAGACTCTGGTTTTGAGCCCTCAGAAGGGATTAGAATAGCCTTCAGGACAAAAATCTCAGACAGGAAGCCAAGCTGTGCACATGGCCAGCAGCTGTCACTAAAGGTAGGGTATGATCTCAGGAATCTGCCAGGATTTAGATAGGAAATTCTCTGGCCAATGCCCTGCCTCTATACACAGCTGGGCCAGACCCTCACCAATGACCCCGAAGATGCCCAGGATGTTGGGAGCGAAGATAACCAGCAAGTTGATACAAGTGAGCAGGCCGATGGCAATGAGTATGTGCCGCAGCCAGCTGAACTCCTGGTTCTTAAACAGCATCTGCTGGATGGCACGGCGCACCTGGGGGATGGGGGTGGGAAGAGTCACCAGTCTGTCAGCTCCATAAGTCCCACCCTGCGTCGGTCCACCTGCCCACCGGCTCACCGGAAACAGAACGATCGGCACTGTGAGTGTGACTGCCGTCAGCACGGCCACACGCACACAGAGGATCAGCACGTCAAATGGGTCCACCTTGCTGTAGGTGTGCAGTAGCTCCGACTCCACCCCGTCTGCGGCAGGCAGGGAGGATGGTCAGCAGGTGGCCCAGGGAGGGGGATGGGCTCTGAGCCTGGGTTGACCCTGACACTGTGGGAAGTGGCAACAGACTCACCTCCACAGCTGTAGGGCACAGTTAGGCATCACGCACCTAGTTAGCACCTCCAGTATGCAGGGTGCCATGGCCACTGGCCAGCCCCTTGCCCCCCAGCCTGGCCTCTGCCTCTGCCCCC